GTCTCTTCAGTTTCTTGTCCCATTTATTAATTAGGTGTTTCTTTTAATGTTTAGCTTTTTGAGTTTTTTATATACCCTAGAGATTAGTGTTCCGTCTGATGTGTGAGGGGTAAAGATTTGCTCCCAAGATGTAGGCTCTCTATTCACCTCACAGATTGTTTCTTTTGCTGAGAAGAAACCTTTTAGTTTGATTCCATCCCATTTGTTGATTCTTGATTTTAATTACTGCACCACAGGAGTCTTATTAAGAAAATATGATGGAGATTAGGGCCAACTTTTTCTTCTATTAGATGCAGGGTCTCTGGTTGTATTTCTAAGTTCTTGACCCATGACAAAATTGAATTTTTACTAATGAGTTAACATTTCTTTAGTGCGTATGTGCTAATCACCTTATATATGACATTCCACTTATGTTTATAGTGAAGTACAAACTTTACAACTTCACAAGAAAATGGATAAATGGAAATAAAATAAAATTACCTAGACTCGTATTGGCAGAGCCAGAATATAAACTTGAATATATGTGACACTTCCTCTTCTATCACTATAGAAAAAGACATTTTACAAAAAGATATTAAAAATACCCAAGAAATTATCAAGAAGTCAGATGTACAGAGCATGTATTTTTCTATCTAAAATTAATTAAAATCTGTCCATAGCTTGACTAGGAAGCAGTCTAATCTCCTCAGATTCCTTTCCAATGGTCAATTCTTTCTGTGTGTACATCAACAAACACAGGCTTGTTCAAACTACTCAAATTCTAATCTCAGAGAGATTTGTTTTAATCCAGAGCCAAATCTGAAAAGGATTCTCAGTCTCTCAGTATGTCTTTATGAGTCCTGTCATAAAGGGCTTATCCCCATGTCTTTTCCTCTATAACTTCACCTGCCTTTCTGAGGTCTGGCAAGGAGAGCTGGCCTCACTAGCAGTCCATGTGATCTTGATGATTAGATCAATAAGGTCCATCTTTCCTTAAAGACTCACAGCAAGTTACCAGCTTTTTCTAGTGGCCCAAAATCATCAAAGGCAAAGACTGGATACTCATGTTAATGAACTAGAGTCACAGAATTAGGGAAAACAATCTAAGAATGCTCTATGGGGGATAGAGGAAGGTCAAAGTTTGTGACAAAGATAACTGACCTCAAGCCATTGTCCATGACTAACCAGGGAAAGCAGGCAATGTTAGAGTAGTGTTACAGAAGGTGGCATGAGTCCAAACACCAGCAGGAAGTCATGGTCATAAGAAGGACTGATAAGAGTAGGATTCCAAGCCTGGGGGTGGGTGATATGCCGATGATGGCAGGGCTTCCTGACAAAGTCTCAGGTCCTCAGCAATAAACCCAGAATCCTAGGTATTTACACCCTAGCACAATGTGGAGAGTTATTACAAAGGCAAGATGAGTGGGAGTCCTTCTACTATAATCACAGTAGAAGATCTATAACACCAAAAGTATGGTAGACTGTTATTGAATTGTTGAGCTTTAAATTCTTCCTAGAAATAACACCAATCCCAGTGTTTGAGAACTTCAAAATGGCAAGATTCCAGCAAAGGCAATTCCTAGCCCATTGAAAATCTATTTCAAAGGTCGCATATTCCTTCAAACCAGGAGTCTGCCCCCAAACTTTGTATAAACACTATCAAAGAGTAAATATTTTCAAGTTTGCAAACCATAAAATTCCTGTAGCAGCTATTCAACCCTGTCATTGTGCTGTAAAAGAAGTCACAGATAATATGTAAACAAACAAGCGTGGCTGAGCTCCCCAAAAAATCTTTATGGATACTAAAGTCTGAATTTCATAAAATTTTTAGGAGTCACAAACATTATTCTTCTTGTGAGTTGCTTTCCTGAAATCATTTTAAAAAGTAAAAATCATCTTCAGATCACAGGCCATGCAAAAATAGATGACAACCCAAATTTTCCAATGGCTTGTAGGTTTCCAACCTCTGCTTCAAATGACATAGTGCCTTACAGTTCCCTGTGCAAAGGACTCTTCTGCTCTCCTATTTGTTTGCAGAGTTAGCTCCTCAGTTGAATTAATGGTTAAGCCCTCAACACATTAGAACCTCCCCAACCTATATTTCCTCTTATCACTTTTTATTAATAGAAAAGTAATGTCTGCATCACCTTTGCATGATTCTTTAAACTCCCTTTCAAAATGTTTTACTGAAACTTACAGAATGGAAGTACCAATATTTATGCAAACATATACATACATAATCAGCAATTTTCTTCCAGGATACTCTTTCCAACTCTCAAGATTTTCCTATGATTCATTGAGTTGTCCTTTCTTTCTATTTCCTTCTAGAATGATCTTGACAATGTTATCATAGGATGCTTCTATACTCTCACTGCAATGGTCAGTTTTTTCCAGGAGATTAGAGAATTTTCCTTTCCACATGCTCACCAGTTGCTAGGACTCTCACATGAGGAGCCCAGTATTCAAAGGACAACACCACGGTCTGAGTTTTGAAGTCAGTTGAGTCTAGTGACTACACCAATTGTGTGGGGGACTCTTAACAACCAAAGCTTTTAAAACTTTCCTAGGTTTCTCCATATATGAGAAAGTTTTTTTTTCCCCCAAGGCTTTAACATGGTTCTTTTTGCATTTTTACAAACTTCCTTCCCAGCCATCAAAGAATACAAGCTCCCTTGTATTTATGATTACAAATCTTTTTATTCCGTCCTTAAAGTATTTTGGGCACTTCCACAATAAGCTTTATAGAAGCTCTAGGATTCTGCTTCATGTGCTGGTTCCTTGCTATTGTCATAATCCTCACTCTAATAAAACATGAAAAGGTTAAAGCACATGTATCCATCAAGCCTACCTAAAAATATACATTCCCCAATGTAAGAGAATTGAAATCCAAATGAGGAAAGTGAGGGATAGAAGAGAAAAAAAAGCAACCCTCTCTGAATATCAAATAAGAGGAAATATAGATGAAATCAAGAAGTTTACAAGACCAAAGAAATTTCTTGTTTGAACATCTTATATGGTCTGTGCTTAATCACTCATACTGATGTAGGGCAGGAGATATGCAAAAATGAATAAAGCAAAACCATTTATAATTCTATTGAAGGTCCAACAAGGGTTTCCAAAGTCTGAGTGTTTATATCATCTTTAACATAATTCAGTGATCCAACTATGATAAAATGCATGGCTATACATTTATTTAACTTATAAACAATTGGCTGAAATCATCTCCAAAACTATTTATAAAGTTACCACTTAACTGCATTCTAGGTTCAACAGTAGCTAAAACTAAACTGGAACAGATGCATCATTATGCACAAATTAAACACAATGATAATAATAGCAGCTACTATTTATTGGACACTAACCACATACCATGCAGTCTTATTTAATCCACTCAAAAAACCCTACCAAGAAGCAATATTTTGGTTTCTATCTTACAAATGTAACATTTTTAAGTTGAAAATGAAGTTCTGCTCTATTCTTTTATACAGAGTAAGCAACTGGTTTCCAAAAGACTGTGACTTGTCATGGGTCATATAACCACAAAGCTGTGATTAGCAGACCCTGTGACTTTAAAGTTTACTTCCTTCCTCGTACAATCTTGTCTCCAAGGCTCCTGTGGGGCAGAACTTGTACAGATCTGTGGTTAGGATCTGTACTATGAATCTTTGGTCTAGTGAACAGAGCGTAGTAAACACTAAATGTTCTCATTTCATTCATTAAATATTTACTATGGTCTTAACTATGTGCCACACATGATTTTAACAGATGTAGACAGAGCAGTGGAAAAATAACCTAGCATACCTAGCATACCTTGCAGAATGTTTCCCTGTTAATATTTTCTGTATGGAATACCTTTAGGCTTTTAATTCCCAAACTTACTAGACAATACCTATCATTCAATAAAATATTTTTAGTGCCAATATTTATTGGGGAGGTGGTGAGAGGTATTTAGAAAAAAAAAACATATTTTCCCTAAAACTCAAATACAAGTTTTTAACTTAATATTATACATGAGATCTCAAGTTATACTATGAAAGAAATTATAAAACATCAGAATCTCATGAAGACATTTTGCAATTAAGGCTGACAACATGGGGGATATGTCTGGAGAGCCTCTGGCTCCAAAAGTGACATGTTCCTGTATCTATAGCAACTGCTTATACTATATAACTTACTTATCTGCTTGAAGCACAAAGAAAAGGATTTTTATGCATTCTACATTCTTATCTGATTTATTTTAACTGTATAAGTGTCTTGCTACGTCTTAGTTACATGTTGGGAAATAGGTTGTATGTCTTGGATTGATATGCAATGCATCATTTTTTTTACTACTTATAATAATAGGAAATAGGTTCCCAGTTTACATTTCACACAGAATACCTGGTTTTCCAGAGGAGATTGTAATATTAAAAGGAGAGCTGCCTGGTAGAATCGAAATCCCAATTCTGGCGTAGCACACCTTCCAAAGGGAACAGAGACAGTAAATATAATAACTGAATATATTACATAATCTGTTAGATGGTGATAAGTACTAAAAGGAACAAGAGAGGATGTATATATGTGGCAGAGAAAACACAGTTTGGAGTAGAGCTCTTGGGAAAGGTCTCACTGAGAAAGAGATGCTTGAGTAAAACCCTGAGGCATAAAAGCATCCCAGGCAGAGAAAGAAGTTTAAGAAATTTTCATGGTAAATTTCTGGAGTAGCAAGCTGAACTTTGGCCAGAGGAATCCAAGCGAGGGAGAGAGTACACAGTGGCGATGTCAAAGAAGCCAGGGGAGAGTGGGAGAATGCACAGAAATAATTATGGTGGCAACCATGGCAAAAACAATTCTTTTTCCTGGTATGAATCACTGTCACTCCCCCGCGGCATTTTTATTTTCTTGGTACTTTACCTAAGATAGCAGCCTTGCACAGACATCTTCCCCCATCTGCTTTCTTGAGAATTGTGTGATCATAGAACACAGTTAATTATAGGGAAGGTCTGCTTCACGGTCACTGTTATTTCAGTGACCAATCAAATCCTGCAGCACCAAGCTCCATTAGAGAGCCCTTTTACTCCTCATTTCCTAAACTCCCATCTAGTACCACATAGCACAAGGAATGTGTCCTGAACTGCTGAAGGCCATTATTACATGATACGCTGATAGATGCTGACAGAGAAGACAGTGGAATCTGCCTTCCCTAAAAACATGTTTAAGAATGGAAGCTCTCCCAGAGGACTGGGGTCCCATCCAAGGACAGAGGTAAGAGGACTTTGATGAGTCCTCTCAACACAGTGATTCTTTTATTTCTCTCTGATGAGTCTGGAGTGGGTAATTATTTAGTGATTTTAACGATATTTTATTTTTCTCATGGGGGAATGCATAAATCATATACAGGTTGCTGTCAAGTTGAAATGTTGCTCCAGATCAGATAGGGGTTTTGGTTTTTTTTTTCCCTCTTTACATACCAGAGGGCTTCTGTCATGAAATCTAATGTGATCCTGAAATGCTTAACAAAGATCAAGACAAGAGGGAGGCAGAGGTCATACCCAGACACATGGGCTGGGACAAAGAATTAACGATACAGATTCTAGTGACAGCGCTGTGCTGACACGGAGGCAGATGAAGAGAAAGACACAGAAACTTTGAAGGTGAAAAGGAGGATAAATCAAAGAGGGTAGTCTGAAGAATACGGAAAGGTTTTAAAATAGCACCTTCGAAGAAAGTGGCAAGTTGAATCCTCTTTTGTGATGGCACCAGAATGTTTCTTCCTGCTTTAGAGCAGCTTAAGTTTATTAAAGGGAGACCGTCATCCAAAGAGTTTAAGTAAGGAAGGGTAGAAAAGGTAATGGGAGCCTCTCCTGGATATCTGAATGGCCAATGATGTATTACAACAATAAGAGAAAATAAAAATCATAACAGAGTGCTGGGAAAATAAATTTCATCACATCCTCCCACCATTACATTTGTATGTATTTTATTCTTATAAAATCAAGACTCTTTTTAAAACTACAAGTTAAATATAACTAAGTTATATAAACCCGGTCTTTTTTCTCAAGAAAAAAAATATAGAAAACTTCAATATATATAAAATAGATGTAGTGTTAACTTTTAAAGCAAAAAAAAAAAAATCAACAGAAACATGTTGACCAACTGTGAATAGTATAAAATGAGAAGCAAATTCTTTGGGGGAAAAAAGTCATTTCCAATTTGGATGCCAAGAGCACTAATCGCCTCCCACTGCTCAGCTGTGATTCCAGCGTCTGGGAGGTTCTCAAAGGGTTCGAGTGTTGAGGAGTCAAGGATGAGTGTGGAATGCATCTTGTAGTTAGAATCACTTCTCTCTGGTGATTAGAAGTGAGGAGAGGAAAATGCCACTTATTGAGTTGCTCTCTATATTAGGAGCTACCTTTTAAAATAATTAAGAATGTTCTATTAAGAATGTTGCTCATGATTTTCAGCACTCCAGAGCTAGAAATCATAGCAAAATAATTGTACACCCAGAAAGTTCGTAATCATGAGTCCATGAAATGTCAACGTAGAGATGATTCTACTGTCAGAGAGATGGAAATTTTTCTGTTACTAACAAAAGATTGGAATAAGATATAATTTTTTTTTTAACCAGAGAATGACAGACACGCCACAGAGTGACATAGACAGACCAAGGGGACCATGTCACTGCCTCAGTGAAGGGAGTCAAAGAAATGGCAGAAGAATGAAAGCCGTGAGCCCAGTAACACTTCTCTTTGACTGCAGTGATGCCATAAAGTTTGTTATAGAAAATGGACATTTTCAGTACAATGGAAAATGTGATGTTCACAGTAAATGCCCTGGCGATAGACTGTCCCAGTGTTCTTCTTCCCATCTGTGAAGACTTCAGCCACTGAGCTCTGTAGCTGTCCTCTTTTGTCTTAGCATCAGGACTAGTCTTCAAATCAAGACCCTAAATCACAGGTAATCCTTCAGGTCCACTTTATGAAGGAGGTGACATTTTATTAAAACAAGTTTTCAAAGTATTGGAACAAAACACTTAAAATATAGAATGCTCTATGGGCCAAAGTGTGACCCAGATATTCGTAGCATCAAGAGATCTTAGCTCTGAAAGTTGCTTTGAAAATAAGAGAAAACTGATCCTGTATTTTCTTCTAAATTTATAAATATGGGAAGCTGAAGTCCCCCAAATTAAAGCAACCTGTACAACACATCTTAACAAGTGGATGCTAAAGAGTGGTCTGCACACATTTTAGTTAAGTTGTGCTAGACTTAGAAATAATACCCAGATTTTCCCATTCTTTTTTTGTAAGTTCTCATCATACTCCAGACCTCTTCCCCTTCTCATCGTATTCAAACCATCATAGGTATGATTCCACTTTCAAGTGAACAGTTTAGTAGATGACTAAGAAAAAAGTAATCCCCCTCTACCTCAGGGGTATGTGTTTTATGTGCCCCAAATTAAGAATGCATCCTCTAATTCAAAGAGTCTAACTTGCTATCACTACCGTTAACTGGCAGCCCTGGCTAAACCTTGAGCAAGTAAGGATACCAGTATTATTTTTAAAAGTTCAATTAGTAGTAGGGGATCGACTTCTGTAAATTCAACAGTTGCCATGGGATAACTCAGAACCCAACTTATAGAGAGATATGTTATTATCTTTGCTTGATTTGACATCATGGTAATAATGTACATTTATTTCATCACTTCTCATGAAGACAGGTGACAGGGCAGGTCTGCAGCTGGGTTGACAACTAAAAACTCTTCTGTATAAATTAATACAGAATATGTATCTTTTTGACCAAATCTCTGAGGGCTTTCCTTCTTGCTGAGAGGAAGGTAAGAGAACTGGTTTAACAAACAAGAGTATTTTTGTATCAGTCGCATTAATATTATCATCACAATCTTGGCTTTCTATGAGGCATCAAAATTAAATGGTTGGAAATTATACCTGCATATCTAGTCCTCCCTGTTGCACTGAACCTTAAGATAAACATAATCAGAAGAGTCCAGTGTTATTTTTGTTATTTTCCAGTTATTCCTAATATAGATGATATAGGTATTTTTAAATTAAATATTACTCAATTATTTTAAATAGGGTTCTTCTCCTTGACAAACACTTTATTGTCTCCCTTTTAACTGAGCATTTCTTTGCTCTATTATCATCAAACTTTATGATTTACCTACTAGATTGAGGTCAATTATCCCTCTAACTATAACTTTACAATATATATTCATACTTTCATTAAACATTATGCCCCAGGGTATTCAATCTAAAGCAAACAAAACATTCATGTTAATTTTCTTTTGAATTGATAAGATGGCAAATAAAACTACTGCCATATAAATATATAGAGAGTGACATAAATAAATATACAAATTTATATGCATAACCTTTATAAAGTGGTTTTATAAACTGAAAGTAAACTAAGATATTTTCGAAAAACTTTTGGCAGTCAGGTTTGAGTCTATCTAATGTGCTGGCTCATTTTCCTCTAATTAGAAACACTCTGGGAAAATCCTTAGGGAAGAATTACTACAGACAAGAAGTGAATTTGCTTTGGTTATCCAGGCCTTGTCTTTTCAATTAATTATAGCTGTGCTAAGGAAAGTATGACTCCTGAAGCAATTAACATGCTCTTTGGACAAAAAGAGTAAAGAATCAGCAAAGTTATGGTGACTAGGTGACCTAACACATGGAGAAACTAACTTCTTATTAGACATTGTTCTAAAAACGAAATGCAATGACAGGAACTAGTTTTGAGTTACAGACAGTTAAAGAAAAATTGTTATACCATCAAAGAAGATGTTTCAATTATTCTAATCTAAAAAAAAGGTTTAAATAATAGAGGACTTTTGAGAATAAGCAGCTGACGTATCTGTGTTTATACCCAAGGGAAGACATCATTCCTGAGTGTTAGCCCACTTCAGTGCAATGAAGGTTGAGAGACTATGTTTTCTAGATTCTAAACCTGACTCCATTACTTACTAGCTCCACATCTTCAGCAAGTTACTCAAAAGTTTGCCTCCATTTTCTCATCTATGAAACAAGGATATCATTCTCTTTAAATTCATAAGCTAGCAGAAAAAAAGAGGTAGAGGACTTACTTCCAAGAGTTATTCTGAGAGTCAAATGAGATAATATATGTAAAGGATATATAATGATGTCTAACCTAGAGTATGTGCTATAGAGAAGCATTACCTACAGTTAGCAGTTATTAGCTCTGGAATGTTCTTTCATAACTTAACTCATGCCTTGCTCCTTTCTCACTCACTTTTCTAATTCATTCAAGTAGGACTCCTCTCTGCCCTCACATCCACCTTACTTTCCTGTCTCTAGGTGTAGTAGTTTCCGAGGGTTGCCATGACAAACTGCCAACACAAATGTATTGTCTCACAGTTCTGGAGAACAGAAGGCTGAAATCAAAGTGTCACCAGGGTTGGTCCCTTCTGAATGATCTGCGGGAGCATCTGCTCCCTGCCTCTCTCCTGGATTCTGGCAGTTGTCTGAATACTTTGCATTTTTTTGGCTTCTTGACCCATTACTCCAATTTTTTACCTCCATCATCAAATGGCTTTCTCTCCCTGTTTTTATCCACATCTTGTTTTTTTTTATTGTCATAATAAAAGTAATTGGATCAGACACGACTAGTATCCTTGAATTAGGACTAGAATCTACCCTAATCCTGGATGACTTTATTTTAGTTCAGTTACCATATTTCCAAATAAGGTTACACTCACAATTCCAGTGATGAAGACTTTTATGTATTCGTGGGTGGACATAATTCAACACACAAAACTAGGTTTTTGCTCAATTGTTTCCACATTCTTGGAATTCTTTTCCTCTTATTTACAGTCTATTTCTGATTTTCCACCATTTATAGCAGACTTGATTTTTTAAAGTACCAACAAGTACTACTGTACTCATCTCTCTTCATGTTGCCAAGAATTTTAGAACTTAATATTTCTGGTATCCTAGAACTTTCTGCCAAGCTAGACTCTGAGCTATTAAAGAATAAGTGAATCTTAGGGCATCTTTTATTCCCCATGTTATCTGGCACTCTGATGGGATAGAGAATGAACTCTTTATAAACATTATGGATGGACTGCTTCTTTATTAGTTGAATATATTATGCCTGTATGTATTGTTTACCTCTGTTTATGAAATAATTTGGAAATGAAAGAATAACATAGTCAAGTTTTATCTTATTTATGATGATTATTAGATCAGGGAAATTAATTTGAGAGCTCTTTCAAAAGCCATTTTAATAGAAAGCATGAAGTCTTTGGTCCTTGATCAAAAACAACTTAAAATCTAGATGGGAAGACAAGGATTAGGCAGGGAATAATTAGCAAGAAAGAAAGCTTTATGTGTTATGGCATGATATAATTTTAAAGTAAAGATTTAAATTCTAACACTGAAATAACTAGAAAACAAGGCAATATGATATGGAACTAATTATGTGGGACAAACTATAGGTGCAAAATAGAGAATTTATCAAAGTTATGCTTCAAGCATAAAACTGCTTTTAAGTATATTGTGGAGGAGGGGTTCCTTTTACTTCAATTAACTCACAAAACAGATGTTTGTGTCATTTGATTATTTGACAATTAGAGTAATGATTTATCCTCTAGAGGATCTGTAGTTGTGTTTTTCTATTCTATTTAAAGATCAAGCAACAGAAATCTGATTCACTTATATTAATGTCATACAATATCACAGATGCCACAAGGACCTCGACACAGGAATTCCTCTTCTCACTGACTGGAACAGAACCGGACATCTCAGGACCAGAAGAAACATCCCTGACTGTTCCCTCTTGGGATCACTTCAACTAAAGAATTTCAACCCATATGTTGTAGTTGAAAGCTGTCCGCTGGAAATTTTAACTCATGGGTCCTAGCTGTGTTGGGCCACACAGGACCAAGTTTAATCCCTCTCCCCAATGACAACCTTTCAAACAGCTAAAACCCGTTATCAGTCTCACTGCACTTTCCCTCTCTCCAGCTTAAGCTGTATGACATGTTATCAAGACCCTTCCCTCCTGATCACACTCACCTGTGTGTGCCTCACCTTGTCTATCATTCTTAAACAGTGATGCCCAGAATGAATACAGCTTCCAGGTGCTCACTGACAGCACAGCATGTTTACAGAATAAAACATCTTCTGTCACCTGTCTCTTCTCCCACAGCAAGAGTTCAGTTCTCCACTGTAGAGAAATTCCCATACAGCCTCCTTATTGGACTACTCACCACTAGAGTACTCATACTATTCTACATGTTTTTCATGATAAAATTATAATAATAGGATAATAGCACTTCAATAATGCAATTATTTCTGAAGGCCCCCTATTTGCAGCATGAACATCAGTAAAATTCTGTTCCTTCAGAAGACATGAAAGATGGCATCTTGTCATTGTGTTTAGCTCCGTTTCTCCCAAATTTTCTACTCATTTTTCCATGGGTTGAGTTGTGAATCCCTAAAATTCACCTGTTGAAGTACTAACCCACCGGTACCTCACAATGCGGTCTTTTTAGAAATAAAGGTCACTGGAAATTGCGTGTGTGGTTAAGACGGGGTCATTTAGGATGGACCCTAATCTCCTATAAGAGGTACATTTATAAAATAGGGGCATATGGATACAGAGACACAGAGAAAAGGATACCACGTGAAGATTAAGACAGTTTTCTACACCAAGGAAGAGAGGCCTGAAACAGATTCCTCCCCTCAGACTCCTCAGAATGAGCCAACCCTGCCAACAAACTGATTTTAAACTTCTGGCTTCCAGAACCATGAGACAATCTCTTATTTAAGCCACCCTGTGTGTAGTACTTTGTTTTGGCAGCCCTAATGATCTAATACATCATTCTTGCCCACTAACCACAAAAAAAAAAAAAAAATCCCAACCTCCAGCAAATGAAAATATGAAGAAATAATCATCCATCAGCTCTAAAAGAAACAACTCCAAAAATCAGTAATTTTTAAAAAGCAACCATTACTTTAGCTCAGGATTCTGCAGATTTTGGAAACAAGCTAGGCTCAGCTAGACAGTTCTTCTAGGTTGAACTGTTTTCAGCTGGAATCACTCTGCAGATGTCTATGATGCTCTCAGCCAGGACAATTGAGGATGAGGAGACATCCCTTCGCATGGTCTGTCATCCTTCAACAACCTAGCCCAGGGGTTCCAAGAAGCTGAAGAGGAGAAAAATAAAATTTTTTGAGGCTATTGTGAATGGGCTAGTTTTCATAAATTTTCTTTCAGAAGATTCATCACTGATGTATAGAAATGCATTTGACTTATGGGCAATAATTTTATATCCTGCTACTTTGCTGAATTAATTCATTAATTAATCATAGAAGTTTTCAAAACAGCTTGGTATTGGCACCAAATTAGACATGTAGACCAATGATACAGAATAGAAGACACGGAGACAAACCCACATGAATACACTTATCTCATATGTGCCAAAAATATACATTGGAGAAAAGACAGCCTCTTCAAAAAATGGTTCTGGGAGAAATCCAGATGCAGCAAAGTGAAAATAAACCCCTATCTCTCACCATTCACAAAACTCAACTCAAAGGATCAAGGACCTGGGAATTAAACCAGAGACCCTGTGCCTAATACAGGAAAAAGTAGGCCCAAATCTTCATCATGTTGTATTAGGCCCTGACTTCCTTAACAAGACTCCTAAAGCACAAGAAATAAAATCAATAATTAATAAATTGAATGGACTCAAACTAAAAAGCTTCTTCTCAGCAAAAGAAACAATCAATGAGGTGAAGACAGAGTTCACATTTTGGGAGAAAATTTTTGCCACACACACATCAGATAGAGCACTAATCTCCAGGATATATAAAGAGTTTAAAAAAATAAACACCAAAAACAAACAACCCAATCAATAAATGGGCTAAGGAACTGAACAGACACTTTTCAGAAGAAGATATACTTTCAATCAACAAATATTTGAAAAAATGTTCAATATCTCTAGTAATTAGAGAAATGCAAATCAAAACTAAGATTTCATCTCATGGCAGTCAGAATGGCAGTTATCAAGAATACAGACAACAATAAATGTTAGCAAGGATGAAGGGGGAAAAACACAATCATACATTGCTTGTGGGACTGGAAAATTGGTGCAGTCAATATGGAAAGCATATGGAGATTCCTTGGAAAACTTGGAATAAAACCACCATTTTACCCAGCTATCCCACTCCTTGGTCTATATTCAAAGGACTTAAAATCAGCATACTATAGTAATGCAGCCACATCAATGTTCATAGCAGCTCAATTCACAATAGCCAAACTGTGGGAGCAAACTAGATGCCCTTTAATAGATGAATGGATAAAGAAACTGTAATTATGGCATTTGCAGATAAATGGATGGAATTGGAGAATATCATACTAAGTGATGTAAGCCAATCCCAAAAAACCAAAGGCCGAATGTTCTCTCTGATAAGTAGATGCTGATCCATCATTGGGTGGTGATGAGAAAAATGGAGGAACTTTGATGGGGCAAAGGAACTTGGAGGGGCAAGGGATATTTGGGAATATCTGGAGACCTATTTTGGTCACAACTAAGGGACAGGAAGCTGCTACTGTCATCTACCAAGAGAGGCCAGGGAGGAGACTAAACATCCTATAATTCACAGGATAGCTCCTCATAACAAAGAACTCTTCAGCCCACAAGATCAATATTTCTGCTATTGACAAGCCTGGTTTTAGCCTACAACTCTAACCAATGCTGGAAAACCTGGGCTTGAGAGCTTTTCTCTTATCATCACTGCCCCGTTTAATAATCTCCTTTACTTGAAACTATCAGGAGAAATGAAAGGAGTGCTTCAGACCCTAAGAGCAAGCAGGCACCTAGGTAAAATGAGAATGACTATTTCTGCCTCTTAGGAGCTCAGAGTCCAGAAGGCTCAGCCTTCCTATATATCACCCAGGCAGGAACTTCCTCAGAGTCCAGCTTTCATCTGGGCTTGTCATCTGGGCCTCTGTTGAGTGTCCCAACTGCTGGTCACCATGACACTGGTCACCATGATGCACATCTTTTGCAGGGGAGACCTTATCTTTTTCATCTCTGGCTCTTCAAGGTCTATAGTGCTGTTGAATGAAGCACTAGAATAATGAGTCCTGAAGAGTACTTGAGGCTGGTCACCATACTGACAGATAAAGAGGTTTGTTATATGTGAAACCTCAAAGATATGGAAAGCAGCATAAAAAAAAGTTGGCAGCATCTATGCTTATTCATCTCAGTTTCCAGCACCACCAAGTATCCCTATCAGAAGACAAAATTAGCTTTGTTATTCTTTTCATATAAAACTAAAATTGAGTGAGGTATCTCTGTGAATTATAAATCTGTTCCAGGAAAGCCTGGTCTTCTATAAGACTGCCCAGTGCTATTGATAGCCATGATCACTATTATAATTCATTGGAATTTTTATCTAACACTTGATTACTAATTATTTTTCATTTCAGTTCTTTTTTTATAAAACTGGTTAACCTGCTTAAAAATATTTTTCTTTTACTTTTTGTTTAAATAAATAGTCCTGTAACATTTTGCTACCACATAGTTTAATAGTCATTGAAAATCTGTCATTTAAAAATGTTTCCCCTCATGTGCAAACATCTGGCTTACCCACTTAGCATTTTGAAATAAGTAGTAATTATCTAGACTCTGATTGGCATGATATTGGCATGACAACCTAAAACTCCAGCCTCTATTCCCAAACCTGGTTGCATTTTGTTACAAGCAGAATTCATTTGATGGGAACTCTGGAGTTTAATTTAGCATGGCATATCCTTGCCTTCCAAAATTTATAAGTACTTAATACTGCTTAACCACATATTAAATGAAATCAGGAAAACTAAAAATGTGTCTGGGTATTGGACATAAAAGAGGCAATAAAATTCTATAATTTGGATTCAGAGATTGTGAGATCCTGGAATTAAAACTTTTTAAAAAGACCAAAGAAGGAGAGATGAGGAGGAAAGGGATCGGGAGGAGCTTAGTAAGACATTACTGACGATGCTCTCATGAACAAGCCAATTCCAGTGCACCCATAAGACTGGCACCTTAGCATCCCTTCCTGGTCTCTCTGTGTACTTGAGACAGCTTAGTCAAGTCTTACCTGATTTTCAAAGCTCCACATATAGGTGTGCCCATTTGTGACAGAGACTGACTACTTAAATTGCCAGACCTCTTTCCTCTTTCCCTGATACCAGCAGATGGTCCACAATTCTCAACCTCCCTGCAGAAGAGTGATATCACTGGGTTCTGGACAACAGAATATAAGCAGAAATGATGTGTGCCACATGCCATGATGCGTGTCTTTCTGCCTCTGTTGGCTTGCTTCAGATAAGTACAGTAACCTTGGAAGCCTGTGTTACACAGCACAGAGCCAAATGACAGAAAAGGCCTGTGTTGCCAAATCACCACTTGGAAGAGAGCCATCAGGTGACCATGAATGCTCATTTTATACCTCTCTTGGAAAACTTACAGAACTAAATATTGTGCCATATTACTGAGATAGGGAATTTATCTTTTGTAGTGGCTAATGCACAACCCCTCTTAGAAAAAATTATCTAGAGAAATTAAGAGGAAAGGGAGACTTACAAAGAGAAGCAATAAACAGGATTTATGTATTCATCAATTTCTTTTTTCAATGAATAGTAAATTCCTTCTATGAGTAGGTTGTTATTCTAGGAACTACAGATAGTGAACTAAATGGACAACATTTTCAGTCTGCATGAAACTTAAAATTTTACAGAGGGAATAGGAAACAAATGAAGTTATATATAAGTAAAATACATAGGAACTCAGAGAGTAAATGTACAATATGAAAATATCATAAAGGGGAGAGTCCAGTGGCAGAGAGCAATAGATAGGAGATGTGGCTCACTCTTATGGAACCATGGCTAGTGCACAGTCCAGGTCACACCTAGGGTCACTGACTGACAGAGGGAAAAAGGTGCCACAGAGATGGCTTTATCCTTCTGTCTCGTAACTACAGTGAGTAGTTACGAGACAGAAGGTACCTTAGGTAACCAGAGGGGCAGGGTCTCCTATCTCAGGAGTCCCAGAACACAGTATTCTATAGGAATGAGTATAACTGGAATAAGGAGGGGGAAAAATAAGTACTTATACAGAACACAAAGATTTGCCAATCTAAAAAGTTAAGAGAAGCTGACAGCATTAAATCTTCTAGCTGAAATGTTTACCTTCAACTTTTGCCCATCCACATGAAAGAGAGTTAAAAACTATGTAGAACTGGAGGGTAAAAAATTTCAAAGGAAAATTTAATTAGAATTCAGAACTACATTAAAAATAATAGTACAGTGATGGCAACACATTAGTCACAGTTTCTACCCATCGTAAGAAAAGAATTAAGGTCAGAAGCAAAAGAAGGAGATAAGTAATACTTAATATTCATATACACCTGCTTTAAGAAAGCTGAATACATACAAACTCAATCCAACCAATTAGATAACAGGGAGTGATTTCCTATGTTAAAAATAAAAGGATTTATAACACTATAAGACTCACTTTAGGCTTACTTGAAATACAGACTTTTCAGTGGGTATTTATCCCAAATGTATAAAAACTTTTCAAGCCAGGGATTCTTCTAGAACAAATGAACAAACTCCTTAGCATAAAACATTTAATATGGGAATTGGGGAAAAACTGAACAGAAACACATTCCAAATCATTCATGTGCATTTGTTTCATGCACAGACAGTATACTTACACTGTCTCAATTTTTGCAGGGCACAGATATTACAGACATTTATAGAAAATTATGAAATTTATATTCTGAAACAAACATTTTAATACATCTGTACCATGTAAGATATTTATAGTATTTCTCCATTGCAAGGGCAATACTAGAAACTACACTCTTAGGAATTGCCATTATCATTCAATATTCCAACCAA